CCATAGCCATTTTGATGAAGGCATATGCCTGGACCGTAACACGCCCCCTGGTGGTGGCTCCATCTGCTATTAGGAAACGTTGTCCCTAATGATTTGAAAATGTCATGAAATTGGATTAGAACTTTTCCCGTTTTTACACTATTGAATAGCTTCGAACGTTTCTGTGCATGTAAAAATTAATATTATTTTACGAATGACAATAATTCTTAAATATCTTTGTAATAATACTTCACTTTAATAAGCGTAGTATTTTTTTAATGGTTGATTTAGCTTAAAGGATTTATTTCGAACATTTAGGCTCTATACTTTATCTTTTTAAGAAGTTGGGTAAATAATAGTATTAAGAAAGACTGGTTAACATGTTATTTCATGTGTTATTGATCAATACATAATTGTGCTACCTTAATGAATACAGAATAATACACTAGTATTGTTAAAATCAGTTAAAATAAAATAATATTGCTAAAATAAAATAATATTGTTAAAATCAGTTAAAATAAAATAATATTGTTAAAATAAAATAATATTGTTAAAATCAGTTAAAATAAAATAATATTGTTAAAATAAAATAATATTGTTAAAATCAGTTAAAATAAAATAATATTGTTAAAATCACTTATATATAAAATAATATTGTTAAAATCAGTTATAAATAAAATAATATTGTTAAATTCAGTTATAAATAAAATAGTATTATTAAAATCAGTTATAAATAAAATAGTATTGTTAAAATTAGTTATAAATAAAATAATATTGTTAAAATGAGTTATACATAAAATTGAATTGTTAAAATCACTTATAAAATACATAATACTGATAAAATCTAATTAGAAATAACACGAGTAGAATAATTCAGACGAACAAGAATCTAAATAAACTTGGAGAATACAACAAGTCTTGTTTATTTGTGCTGTGATTCCCCGGTAGGTAAGCGAAGGGATCGAATCTCGTATTTTAGCATTAAAAGTACTTCAGCTTGTTGCTAAATTACCGAGACGTACACTGCAAGTGTATAACGAAGTAATTCGAAGAACTCATAAGTGAAAGCAAAGAAGAATATGTAATAATATGTCAATCACATTACATGTGATATATCCGGTGTGTACGAGGTTTTTCACCCAATACTAGGGCTCACCAGGTTAGTCTGAACGCCTTACAACAATATGACTCAAGATCAAATGAGCGGGACGATAAAATCATTTAGTATGGTTTTGGCAAGCTCAGTTCCAGGAAAGTTATGATTGTAAAAGATGAGAAATCACACAAGCTATTCAGCTTATTATCACATCTCTAAGGTTGGAACAGCTGGTATATCTGTAGCCACAGCGTTTATTTAAGTACAACACAGAATTATGGGTGTTTTATAAAGCTATCGCTAACTTGTACTTTTATACGTACATATTTGTATACACTGCAGTTGAGTCAAGTCGCTCAAGTTCGATTTCGCTCACCGACCTTCTATCATTATTTACAAGTATTTTAACAGTTTATCCGAGGAGATTTGGGGACAATTTTCGCTCAAAGCTACACAAAGAACTGACAAAAATGAAAGGCTACTTCCATCAAATTGTTGGATTTAACCGTCACTCTTATAGCATATATACGGCTTCAGAGTGCAGCAACGAGACCTGAACAGGGAATCCTTGGATTCACATTGTGGAAACGTTAACCAATGGGCCACGTCCGACCAGATCCATTTAACTTTATTCTGATTGATATACATCTCCTGGTTGTAAGTCCAGAGACAAAGAAATCTTGATTTTTGCACCGAAATATAGCAAACCCTAACATAATGTTTTGGGCCACCACGTGCCTTGATTACGGCCTAGATACGACGCGTCATCGACTCCGCTCGTACCTGGAAGTTATCGACTTCAATCTTTGACCACTCCTTAATTAAACAGTATTGACTACAATTCAGATAAAGCTGAGGATAATGGACTATATTTCTTTCTAAAACATCTCATTCATTCTCGATATGAAAGTACTGTGTAGGTCAGTCTAGATGCTAAGGGAACCAGTTACAAACAATGTTAGCTGTATGGATGCAGACAATGCCAGTAACATCTGCTTACATTAATCAGATATGAGATGTCGCAAACACCGAACGTTACCACAAAGATATCGAAACTTTTTTATTTATGTTCTAGGAAAACATTATATTTTTTAGTTACTATAACCATTATGCATCAGAGTAAGATATAAAAACGCGTAAATTGACACTTTTTTCCCCATGGATTTCTCATGTAGTATCGTATCTGGATAATGTTTTCTTAAAAGCATGGCGATCCCTCATTACAACATGTTTCGTGGATTCTGCCTTTTAACTTTTTTTTTCTTAATTCCGTAAAGACAACCAAACCTCATCAGTAAAAGTCAAAACATCAAGATTCAGTTTTAATAGTCTTGAAACCTTTAACCCCAGTTAGACTTGTACATAGCTTTCACATCCTATGCGAGACAAATAGGGCTCGTGACTATTTCGAAATGGAAAAAAAAAAGAAGACATCGACAAGCACGTGACAAAATCATGGAGAGCATCCAACATCACATGATGCAAGAGTATCCATCTTCTACTGACAGTCAACATAACATATGGTTGTACTCAAAGATAGGTCGTATAATGCCTTAGTTTTACTCTATCTCACATAGGTGTGAAATTAAATGTATCAAAGACTGAACTACTATATCTAAAATCACAAAGACCACTAACCCGCATCTGCTATTTGGAGGTGCTTTCATCTAGCGATCGCCATGATAACTATGCTAATTAATTAATGCTATTTTTATATATTTTGAGTTCTAAACAGAAAACATCGTTCTAATTCCATTCTAAAACACTTGGAATTGCTAAAGCCGTTTAACATGCGCGATCTCTTCAGGTTCAAAAAGCTACAATTCTGTTAATTAATATTAAGTAATAGAAATGGTTACTTGAATGTTGTTATAGTTAAATAACATTACATCTAAAATCCATAGAAAGTAAATTATTACTTTGTTTTCATTTTTCCCTTTAACTTATTGAGATTCCTAAAAATTGTAAAAATTAAAATACTGCGATTGTTTCTCTTCTGAAAAATATCAGCATAAAAAAAACAGAAAGATTTATACAAGTCAGTAAAATGTATTATACAATTAAACTATCAAAAGTAGTTAATTTGGCTGTTTAATAATTAATATTAATAATTACGGATTGACACAATAATTTTTCTCCGCTATTTAAAAAAATGTTTGTTTGTTTTTAATTTCGCGAAAGGCTACACGAGGGCTATCTGCGCTAGCAGTCCCTAATTTAGCAGTGTAAGAGGGCAGCTAGTCATCACCACCCACCGCCAACTCTTGGGCTACTCTTTTACCAACGAATAGTGGGATTGACCGTCACATTATAATGCCCCCACGGCTGAAAGGGCAAGCATGTTTGGTGTGACGGTGATTCGAATCCGCGACCCTTAGATTGCGAGTCGAACGCCCTAACCACCTGGCCATGCCGGGCCCTTAAAAAAATGTTATGGTTTCAACAAATTTACTTAACTGCCGAAATTTTACGAATGAATTTTTGTGAATATGTAACAAAATTGGCCATCACTTAAGTATACCTAACATGAAAAGTATTGTCTCTATTTGAACTTGTACTCCAACCTGCAGTTATCAAGTGTACTATAACTATACTTCCCTCGCAGTTGATAATAAAAAATTGATAATTTCACCTTTCCACATCTAATAGAGAATGCATACTTATCAACTATATTCAAACATATTTTCTAAATAGTTTGCAGGTGCTATACGTATAGTTGCTACATCCTTGTAAGCGGATGCGGGAAGGTCAAATACTTTGATTATTCATCTTAAATAAATGCTGCAACCTTGTTCCATAGTGCTTATTTGGTTCTATTTATCATGTCTTTCTGGGTTGAGGTCGTATTCGTTCCAAACCATGATACAGTGACTCGTACAAGTTAGTGTTGTTGAGATTTATTTCTTTTGAAAACGTTTATTTGTAATGATAGTTGAAGTGGTTAGTCTAAGAATTGTGGGATACTGCACTAGGACCATGTTGAAAGCGTGTGTGCATGTTGGTGTGTGTGTGGGGGGGGGCATGTTTTGCTTTATCCCACTCTACCCTAGCACCTAATTGGAACTTTATAACAGAACTAGGAGCCGGCCAATAAGATAAGACTTACAATTACGTAGTATGGTTAAAGATTTTGTCGTATTTATACACTTGTGCTCATATTTCCTTTGCTGTCCAAGATCATTCTAATTCTATCTCTGCATATTTTGTGGTTACTTCAAACTTTCCTAATGAATATCATTATACCTAACTACCACAACCCAACTCAATCCAAACAAACGTATTGTTACTACTTAAAGTGTGTTCCTACCCAAAGTTTAACAAAACACGTGACTGCAAGCTTTCTTGTAAGTTTGAATGATGATTTTTATGTTGTAGTTGTTGTTTAATTTGGTAATGTTGAGTGAGAAAAATTATGGTGTTACTTGATTCTAAAATTGGAAAGGTTACTGACATATGAAAGCCTCGGGGGGGGGGGGCTTTTTTCCCAATTTTTTTTTAATTTCAAGACATTAGAATTTTCATTTTAGTCGATTTTATTAAAATATTATCTAGCTAAAGTTTTGTTTGTTTGTTTTGAATTTCGCGCAAAGCTACACGAGGGCTATCTGCGCTAGCCGTCCCTAATTTAGCAGTGTAAGACTAGAGGGAAGGCAGCTAGTCATCACCACCCACCGCCAACTCTTGGGCTACTCTTTTACCAACAAATGAGCTAAAGTTTACCAATATAAATTGGACAGTCAACAAACGAATACTGTTAGAGTTCAAATGTTATAATTTGTACCTAAATGAAGCCATTCTAGGCAAACAAGTCCTGAACTGGGATATCGTTCGTCTAAACTTCACCCAGTGTTAAAACCATTATTTACCTACAAGTGCAAAAAAGAATTATCAAAGAACAAGTCAGTGTACCCAATTTTTTTATTACAAACACAAAAACTGCAAGTGTTATTTATTGTACATCTATCACACTTTTGTTTTCACCATCTGTATGAAAGAAAGGAATGACTAAATTACATCTTCAACGCCCTTTAGTCAGTTGTACAACCACCCCCTGGCGGTACTGTAAGCATTTAAACATAACGAAGTTTATTACAGCATACACTACAGATTCTTTTTTTTATTACACAAATAAAAACTATGGTTATTTTCAACATGAAATAAAGAAACTTTAGGGTAAAAATAACATTATCTCAAGCTATTTTATCTTATTCTATTCATTTTAATAACCCAAAGTCTATAAGTATAAAAACAACGTTTTCTTTATCTAGTAAATTCTAAAATAAATAACGAGGCACAAAACTAAAGTTAAATAAAACAAAACATAGAATGGTTATTAATTTAAGTCTTAACGATATTTTACATCACGTAACCATTATTTAAATCTCAAACTTCAAACTTTCTATGGGAAACTTGGTCAAAACTCTGAAGATATAATAGCAATTAGAAATATTTTAAAATCTTATAAACACTTTGTTTAGTCGCATAAACAACAAAATATACTCACTATCTTCTACAATGCTGTTTATTTAAAGAAAGTTTTGGGACAAAGCTTAGGTCACGATTAGCATCTCGATTCTCAAAGTAAAATACAACATGATAAGAAAAGGTATATATTTAACAGTATCAAAAATGGCTGTCAACTCCTAAAACAAATTTGATTTCTCCAAAATTCAATTTACACTTTCAAGGAGCAAATAACAACCAGTAACTGACTTGGTTAAAAAACAAGTTTCTGTTAGTTGTTCATTATTTTACAACGTAATCAATACATCTTGTTTATTAAGTAAGAAACATTTTTTTAACGCGTGAATTAACTTTCAGAATTCTTCTATGAAATAAAAACACGCGTTTTGTTTTCAGTTTACATGACGGTTGTTTACGTTCCATTTGTTCAGTTACTCTTTTAACGTGCAAAATTTTAAAGGTAGAGAAAAATCGATAAAAAATTGAGTAATAGACTAGTATTTTAATTGATTTTTTTATTTTCGCTATAGAAGAACTGCTCATTGATTTTTATTCGCAGGAATCACCGAAGTTAGAATTACCACGTCCGTCTAGAAAGTTAATTCTTTAGTTTGGGTAAAATATTTTGACAATCATAATATTCAAATAGTTGGAACTATAATTTGTACAAAAAAAAAACAGTTTCATATTAATATGTACTTATTAGACAGTAAAGTACATTTTCAGACGGTAAAACATATATGATCTGGACAGTAAAGTACATTTTCAGACGGTAAAAGATATCAGATCTGGACAGTAAAGTACATTTTCAGACGGTAAAACATGTCCGATCTGGACAGTAAAGTACATTTTCAGACGGTAAAACATGTCCGATCTGGACAGTAAAGTACATTTTCAGACGGTAAAACATATATGATCTGGACAGTAAAGTACATTTTTAGACGGTAAAACATATCCGATCTAGATCCCGTGAAATTCTTACATCATCTCTGTCATCAGACATTATTATATAGCTGACACTACAAACCTGATAAATCTAAAGGCGTATCAGTCATATCGATAAATACAAGCCATTTAAAATGGCACTGCATGTAACGAAGTTAAATCTGTAATCAGTAAATACTGGTAGTTATTAGACTAAGTTGGTTTAAAATCATTTACTTGTAATGAACAAGGTAATGGCTTATGCTTCTCTACAAGTGACTTGGAAAATCTCTTAGCACGTCTGTTGTGATTACTTTAAAAGTTTAAATACTCAGGCAACTGTAACTGGTTTATTAAATACACAAATTTCAATGTAAACCAATTTATCATTCTTTGTAATTGCTTATATAATTCGAGTTTACAATTTTCACTAAACAAGTTATACGCTGCTCATCAAAAACTCTTAATCAATACAAGTTTGTCATGCACAGTTCTGAAAATTAGACACTCGCTTGCATACTATGGATATGACAGATGATTTGATTTTTTCCATTAGTTTAGTCTTTTTTTAATCATATTAAAAGTTACCGTTTCTTTTAAACTCATCCATTTGGATGACTCACTTGACTTCTAGGAGTTGAGGGTAATTTTCTACAATATTTAACAAAATTCCGTCAATATAATTTCTCAGCTTTGAATTCACCTCTTGATGTTCTCGTAATGCTTCCATGACCTACGGTAAAAAAATAAAAGATCAGAACTTTAAAGGCTTGCAGTTAACGTTGAAACTTGCTATTTATGTTAGGTTGAGAAAAAATATATATCATACATTATAGTTTTGTCACCAGTATTAATTTTTGGCCCTGTGTCATTTATCATTACTTTTTATATTACGTATCATCTTAATGTTGTGACCTGACCAAAACGTTAAACCACCCAGAAGGTAATCACTGTCTCGGTGAATCCAATAAAATAAAGCTTACCTCATCTTTGGACAGGTTTTCAATCTCCTCCGCTAACGTCTTGGTTTCTTGATGGAGGAGATTGCGACCTTCTAACACGCTGTTATTAAGTAACTGAAACTGAAGCTCTTCGTGGGTTTCTCGAAGACTTTGGTTTTCCTACGAAGATATATGTTGAATAAGAAAAACCAGCAGAATATTTACGACAATGTTTGTTTACCAATACTATATCTACAATCTTTACTGACAAAAAAAGGGCATTAGGATTCGGATTTTTCAGTGTGTATTAGTTGAAATAAGTTTCAAATTTTAATGGTAGATGTCTTAAAAGGTTTGTAAGTCCTCACATGAATCATGACAACTGAAGGTGATGCAAGACAAGGCGTTATATCCGGGCACTGGAAGAACATGAATCATGACAATTGAAGGTGATGCAAGACAAGGTGTTATATCCGAGCACTGGAAGAACATGAATCATGACAACTGAAGGTGATCCAAGACAAGGTGTTATATCCGGGCACTGGAAGAACATGAATCATGACAACTGAAGGTGATGCAAGACAAGGTGTTATATCCGGGGGCTGGAAGAACATGAATCATGACAATTGAAGGTGATGCAAGACAAGGTGTTATATCCGGGCACTGGAAGAACATGAATCATGACAACTGAAGGTGATGCAAGACAAGGCGTTATATCCGGGCACTGGAAGATGTTATAAACACGAAGAAACACATCAAGTGTTATTTCTCATTAAATCGAATTTTTGTTCATAAAATCTGAAAACCTACCATCATGTTTGTAAATCTGGAAAAAAAACACTATTAAAACGTATGGATAACAAATCAGAGATTCAATGAAGAAATTGCTGATACACAGGATTAACTGCACAGTAAAGTAGTTAATATGATGTAAAGTTGATAATCACCACGTATATTAGATACACTTTACAAATGCTTTAAGTTCAGAATCTTATAAATTTGTTTCTCACCAGGAGTTTTCGGAATTAGAAAAGTTTGACTTTTTAGGGCATGGAGAGCGACTGGGGTGACAAACATACTTGAAGAGACTTTTCTACTCTGCATTTGGCAAATTTTTACAATCCTATCGAACATGAAACATCAGTGATGCTGGGACAACAACTGGGAAGATTAAAGACTACTGTGAAAGTTGTATTCTGTCTGTCTGTTGATAACGCTTATTTTACGATGTTAAACTTAAGTGCTATACGGTCTCTTGATAAACAATTTTCGTCGATGCGGTGAACAAGGGGGAAGGTAAAAAAAACAATAAAATTTCATAAAACCTAGTTTTTTTATGACAAACACATTCACAGACTTCCTACACCATTCAATTTCTGTTCATTTTAAAACAAAACAATCCTTCAATTCGTATTTTATTTTTAAATGAATTCAAGGTTTGTTCTGACAAGCAGGCCCCCCTCATGGTTCAGCGGTAGGTTTGAAAGCTTATAACTCTAAAAATTGGCTTTCGATACCCGTGGTGAGAAAAGCACAGATAGCCAGTTGTGTTACTTTGTGCTTAATAACAAACAAGCTATCGGAGATTTTTTTACTGATTTTATTATTCAAATAACGTTCAAAAGACAATGCATTTATAGTGTATGTATGTATGTATGTATGTGTGTATGTGTGTGTGTATGTGTGTATGTGTGTGTGTAACACACACACACACACACACACACACACACACACACACACACACACACACACACACACACACACACACACACACACACACACACACACACACACACACACACACACACACACAACACACACACACACACACACACACACAATATATATATATATTTATTCTCTTCTACTTCCTTATTTACAGTTTTTCAAGTAGTCTATTATGTTATTAAATGCATTAATAACACTGGCTTCGTAAGATACAGTGTTAACTGCACTTACGTTATTTTTAGACTTATGTACGACTACTTTCGGATGGAATCGTACTCGTTTCTTTTGCTTAGTATGCGTCAGTTCCAGTTGGGTTGATATAGGACCTCTTGATCTGAGACTATAATCGTGGGTCACTACATCATCTTGTGTCATCAAGGAGGTACTAGGGATACTTTCTCAGTTACTTGGGTACTATCCTCATTGTTAGGGGTAATAACTGTTGTATCTTCTGTTGTTATTAACTTATCACCTAGTGTTATGTTATCTTCTCTTTCTACTCTCGGTATTTCTGGTTCTGGGTCTATTATTTCTTCATCATAAAAAGAAGATTCAAACTCACTTAAGTTATCAGCTTCTTCCTGAATACCCTTATCTTGTTCTGCTTGTTTCGTTTCTTGTTCTACACATTCATATTGATAAGGCTTATAATTCTTTACTTTCTTTAACCTGTTTACATGTACTAACTGTTTGTTCTTTCCATACATTTCTTGAATTTCATAATTAACTGGACTTGTTTGTTTCAAGACTCTAAAAGGACCTTTCCATAACTTTGCTAACTTTTTAGTATTTCCTTTTTTAACTATTGGTGTATATAATAACACTATCTCCTAGCTTTATATCACTGACCTGTGCCTTTTTATTTACTTGCTTTTCTCTACTTCCGGCAGCTTTAGTTAGATGTTTGTTAGCTATTTCAAATGCTTTTTGCATCCTCTGTATTAACTCTACCTTATAGTCATAAGCTATTGCATGAATGTTTTTTACTTAGGAGCCAATATTTCTTGCATATGTAAGATAACATCTCAACCATGCAGTGGAAAGAATGGACTTTCCTGAGTTGACTCGTTCTCAGCACTTATATGGGATAACAATAACAAGGGATCTGCTCATCCCAAGTTTTCTGATCCTTCTCACAATATTGAGAGATCATATCTAACAAAGTTCTATTAAATTTTTTTACTAAACCATTAGCAG